AAGAGGCGGAACCGATATTGCTCATCTTTATCGATCTCCTCGGTCGACTGTGCCACCCAACTGGTAAGCAACACGCGACGTTCGAAACACGGTGTCCCACCCCAAGGGAGGAGAGATGATACCCCCGCCCCCTGCCTGTTCGTTGAACACCACCGTTGAACTGAGTTTTTCGCTTCACGCTCGTGGTCAGTTTTGATGTGCAACCCAAGGCCCTGGGTGTTGAAGAAACGACGGTTGCACTTCGTACAAGGCACTATCGGTTGAGGCGGTGGAGGCGCTGCGAAGTTGATGTTCGTGATCTCCTCCGTGCTGCCGTCCCCACGCGTACGCGCCACCTGCACAGAAATGGGGGAGGGAGGGCATCGGAGGGCGGTGGTATTGTTCATTCCTGCTTGAGTTTATCATGTTGTTTGAAAGATAGCAACATAAGCTCGTTCAACAAAGAGTGCTGCCTCGGGTAAGGCCAGCACAGCAGCATGTAAGAAGACGCATGTCGGAAAGGGTTGACAAAAAAAGAGGCGAACATGGTACGGAGGCGCGCTGGCGGCTTACTGCTACAGACATGTTCTTGCCAATATGTACGTACACTTGACGTGCAAAAGCGGCTCAAAAATCATTTTTGTGCGGCAGTTTAACAATAATATGAAGTGTTGGGATCATTCACGTGGTTCACAGCAGCACCGGTATGACGCAAATCGAAGACAAATAATAGCAGAAGAACTCACGCAAACCGAAAGAGACACTCACAACACAGAGCATTCGATGCCAACAATACATAGCACATGTAGACGCAAATGTGTATTTTGGACACTAAAAGAAAACAAAAAAAACATTAGAAAAAAAAAAACTGGTCTGTCCGCATCTCGGTGGCGCTGAATATATTTTCAAGTATCGCGCGAGATCCTCTCGTCGGCACACACAAACATGTTCTACGCACCGGTTTGCCACTCCCTTTAGCGAAGGCATTGATGATGTGGGTCCCTGCCGGTGGGTTGGATGCTGCCCTCCCCTTTTTCTTGGCTGATGCTGTTGAAGACGATGATGCCTTTCGATTCTGCCCTACGAACTGCTGTGCGCTTGAACCAGCAGCCGATTCAGGAGGGATTGGCACTGGGGTCTTTTTCTTGAGGTGGGATGCCACATGTTCGTTAAGATGCTGCACATGCTCCTCCAAAGTAAGTAAGGATATCGGAAGAAGACCTCAAACTCCGCAGCTCTTCAATGCCTTTTTTCCAGAAATCGTGAGACAGAGGCTCGTTGTTTAGAAGGTGCTTCTTGATGTCCCCGAGCTGGCCCGTCGACAGTTCTTGTTGATCTCTGAGGGTGACCAGCTTGGTCAAGCCCTCACGAGAGTTGGCGGATGTTCGTGGGTCTGCGAACACTGTTGTTGGATACATGTGCTGGATGATTTTGTGTCACGCAGACTGGTAAGATTACCGTTT